TGTAATTTCAATTTATAAAGTACATTTTTTGTGCATAAGTATTTTGCGACGAATTGTATTTGGCGACATGTTCCAACACGAGAGAATCCAGCCGACATCGTGTCTAGAGGATGCACTGTCAGTGAACTTTTAGCGTCATGCTGGTTTACAGGCCCGGCGTTTCTCTCATTGGCAGAAAGCGATTGGCCAACTTGTTCCGTAAACGAAGTCGACAATGCCGAAATCAACAAAGAGAGGAGAAAAGCCACCTTTCACCAGACTGCAAGAGCAAACCACATCCACGATGTAATTGAAACCTATAGTTCTTATCCGCGTATACTTCGAGTCTTTGCATACATGTTTCGCTTCATCCATAGAGCAAATAAAAGTCTTAATAAATCTGTAGAATCAAACTCCCTAACTGCGGATGAATTACTCCATGCTCAGTACTGCGTCATATGGATCGTTCAGCAGCAATTTTTCGCAGAAGATATTCGCCTACTGACTGCAAACTTGTGTACTCAAGGTTTGTTAAAGAATCTTAACCCCTTCTTGCATGAGCTCGAAGGCTTTCTTTTGCTTAAGGTCGGTGGCCGTCTAGCGAATGCAAACATTGAGGAGGGCCAAAAACATCCGATATTGCTGCCTACTAAATGTACGTTTACTCATAACTATGTTCGCTACTTACATCAGAAAAATTATCATGCTGGTCCTAAGGCACTGGTAGCGCTTATTCGACGTAACTTCTGGATCTTTAACGCTCGAAATCTTTGTCGACAGATCGTCAACTCATGCATACATTGCATCCGATATCGTCCTAAACTACTTCAACAAGCAATGGGTAATTTGCCGGAGGAGCGCCTTACTCCAGCTCGACCATTTACTAAGGTAGCAGTAGACTTTTGTGGTCCGGTAAACACCTATCTTCGCGTACGGGGCAAGACTCCGTACAAGGCGTATATAGCGGTGTTTGTATGCCTATCCTCAAAAGCCATGCATATTGAAGTGGTGTCAGACCTTTCTGCGGATGCCTTCATAGCTGCTCTGAAACGCCTTATGGGTCGACGGGGTATGCCCAGCAATACATTCTGCGATAGCGCGACAAATTTCACTGGAGCAAACAGTAAATTAGAAGAACTGAAAGATTTTTTGTTTAACTCGCAGACTCAACATACAATTGTAAGTTTTTGCTCTCAAGAATTTATTAATTTTTCTTTTATTCCCCCCAGAGCACCGCATTTCGGCGGCCTTTGGGAGGCTGCGGTAAAGTCGGCTAAGGGACACCTCTACCGTACCTTAATGAACACACGATTAACATACGAGGAATTGACCACAGTACTTATTGAGATTGAAGCGATTCTCAATTCACGCCCCATTGCACCGATGTTATCAGACCCCAGTGACTTCGAAGCATTAAGTCCTGGTCATCTTCTCATTGGATGCTCATTGAAATCACTGCCCGAACAACCCTCTATCGGAGTGGAAATCAATCAAATCGAACAGTGGCGGCGCATCACAGTCATCAAAGAGCGCTTCTGGCGTCGTTGGTCACTGGACTACATTAATGAGTTGCAGACTCGTGTCAAATGGACCAAACCGAGTCCCAATCTGAACGTGAACGATTGGTGATTGTTCATGAGGACAATGTACCACCACAACGATGGGTGATGGGTCGAGTGACTGAGTGCTTTCCTGGAAGGGACGGACGGGTTAGAGTTGTAAACATTCGTACGTCAAAGGGCCTTATCCGACGCCCAATACACAAGCTAGCCCTGCTTCCTATATATTGAAAGTGCCTTTCAAGGGGGCCGGGATGTTAAGTAAAGGGGATTTTTGTAGTTCAAGAGGCAACACTAACTCTATTTGGTTGTTTTCATTTATGCTTTTATGCTTATTCGTAAGAGAGTACAAACTGTTGTAATAAACCTACAATAAATCAGATCATTGCAAACGATTGAAGTGAACGCATCGTAATTTTATTCCATCGACTGGACTCGAAACCGCCCACAACAACAAATTCCGTAACAAGGCAATTATTGAATTGTTCGCTCCGCCATAAAAACGCTTGTGACTTAACAGATACAAAAATAAAAACTAAAAAAAGTTACATAAGTGGTCGCATGGGGTCAAGGCTTAAGAGAGTAGCGACAAATGTGTACACGCCGATGTTCTGGCCGTGACTTATGTACGTAGCCCGCGGGGAGTTAGGAAGCTAGATAGAGCACGAGCACGCTCCAAGCACTCCAAGACATTTTTTTTTCAACTTGAAATGACCTTGACCCCATTCGCCTAATTAAGGGTTAAAGGTATTATATTCGTTTTTGGTTTTAAAAACTATATTATAACAAGATCTAACTTTTAAAAGAAAAGATTTGTTAAATCGATTTCATGAATTTTATTTTAAAAAAAATTGGCGATTTTTGGCGATTTTTTTCCGAAATTGCGCTTTTTTTTAAATAATCTGGACACTCTGATCAAGGATATCTGGTTTGCCGAAATAGGAACACGCAACATCTGAGAAGCAATCCGCATCTAAATCTAAACCATACTTTTCCAAAGTTCGACCTGGAGCATTATTGATTGTGATTCC